CAGTCCCACACCCCGCCTGTGTTTTAACGAGAACTTTTATCGATTCCCCTTATCGCTGACATGTTTGAATTCTACCCCGTTTCTATATAACTGTACTGGCCCGATGAGAATTTATCGAAAGCTACGTATGCTCGACACCTCGTCTTCTGATTACTGCTATGGGAATTTTCGCAACTCTAATTTACCTTTGACAATTTAGTCCCATTTTCTTTGATCGCATTGCTTGTTTGAATGTGACGAGAAACAACACACCTGTACAACCCGCGTTGCTAGCGTGCTCCTCTGTCGTGGTCTGTCGTCAGTTTTCTTAACGGTCGAAATCTCTATATTACTCACTGCTCCGATTTACTTACTGCCTTTAAGGCTAGGGGATCGTGAAATATAACTCGTTAGTTCGTGAAAACATTACTATTTACGTCATTGGTGACTCCCGACGTTAACGCAGACTTTATACCTTTATGTCATACAGGATAACATTTAACGTACTATTTGCTTGTGAATATCTATTCTATTTACATTTACTTTCCTCACGAATTCTGATATTTTGCCATCTCTGTCTTATAATGCCTCATTTAATCAACAACTTGATGCCCCCACCCAGTCCCTTCATGCAATCAATTTTACCCTGCCTGAATTCTGACAGCACACTCCAGAACTTTACTTCATCCGCATAGAATCACCCTTTTATTCTGCCAACTTTACCAAGGAGCTAGTAAAATACCACAAACTTGTGGAGGTCCTCCCCCCTAGTGTCATCTCTCAAGTTCAGTCCTTGCTAGCTAATCCTCCTGCAAATGCTCCCTACTCCGCGCTAAAGGCAGAAATTCTCCGACTTAATTCTGTGTCTGACCGACAGCGGTATCACCAGTTACTTAAGGAGGAGTCATTGGGTGACCGGAAGCCCTCAGAGCTTCTACGTTGAATGCGTTCTCTCCTTGGAGACATGCAAGTTGACGATACATTTGTCAAGGAGATGTTCCTAGAACGTCTGCCCGCAGATGTTCAAACGATCCTGACGTCCGGCTCTCAAGATCTTACGGTCTCGCAGCTGGCTGAGATGGCGGATCGAATGATAGAGGTTCAGCGGTTCCAGTCACCTTCCGTTGCCCAGATTTTCTTATCTTCATCGTCAGTAAATGAAAATTTAGTGAAACAGGTGTCGGCCATGGCGGATGAGATGGCCTCCCCTAAAATACAGCTCACTCGCCTTTCTTCCAGTCGCTCACGCAGCCAACGTCGTTCTCGTTCGCGACCTCGGACTGCTGATACTTGCTGGTATCACACTAATTTCGGCGTAAAGGCCCGTCGCTGTTCCTCACCCTGCTCTTTTAAACCGAAACAGGGAAACCAGTCAGCAAGAGAATAGATGCGACCGTTTTCTCTAGCTCTTCCGGCTCTGGTCGCACCTTCTATGCTTGCGACACTGCGACTCGCAGACGTTTCCTGGTGGACACTGGAGCCCAAATCAGTGTTGTTCCCCCAACTGCAGCTGATCGTCGTTTCCCTAGCCCTGGTCTTCACCTCCAAGCTGCTAACTGTTCCCCCATTCCCACTTTTGGCTGTCTGTCCCTCACCCTGAACATTGGCCTTCGTCGGTCATTCACCTGGATCTTTGTGATTGCTGATGTCCCTCATGCAATCCTCGCCTCGGACTTTCTTGCCGAGTTCGATCTCCCTGTTGACTGTCGACGTGTCCATCTTCTCGACCGCATAACTGGTCTGTTTGTTTGTTGACTGACTCCCTTTACTGCCCCCACCAACTTATCTGTCTTGGATACAGATATTGCTAGTCCTTTTCGGCAGCTGCTTCTTAGTCACCCCAACATAATTAACCCCCAGTTTCGCAGTAGTGAGGTTCAACATGATGTTGTGCACCATATCCGCACCTCAGGTCCTCCGGTGTTTTCCGACCGAGACGACTAGCACCGGAGCGTTTCCAGGCCGCGAAGGCGGAGTTTGAACACATGCTACAACGGGGCATCATTCGACCGTCCGAGAGCCCTTGGGCGTCCCCACTGCACATGATGCCCAAGACAAAATCAGGCGACTGGCAACCCTGTGGCGACTATCGAACCCTCAACAGCGCTACCATTCCTGATCGGTACCCCGTGCCTGTTCTTCAGGACATTGCTGGAGCCCTTTTCGGCAAAGCGGTTTTCTCGAAGATTGAACTGGTGCGTGCTTTTCATCAGATTCCAGTCGCCCCTGAGGACATCCCTAAAACCGCCGTCACCACACCCTTCGGTCTCTTTGAGTTCATCCGCATGCCGTTCGGTCTTCGTAATGCCGCCCAAACGTTCCAGAGGTTCATCGACCATGTCTTACGTGGCCTACCCTTCGTGTACGCCTACGTTGATGATCTCTTTGTGGCCAGCCGGAATGAAGAAGAACACAAAGAGCACCTTGCCTTGATGTTTGACCGCCTCGACAAGTTTGGCGTTGTCATCAGCCCTTCCAAGTGCGTGTTGGGTGTGCCTTCACTCGAGTTCCTCGACCATTAGGTCGACTCTGAAGGTTTGCGTCCCCTCTTCTCCAAGGTTGAAGCAGTTCGTAATTTTCCTCCTCCAACTTCCAAGCGTCAGTTACAGCGATTCCTCGGCATGGTCATTTTTTACCGTCGGTTCCTACCGAACTGCGCTGACCTCATTCTGCCGCTCACCAACATGCTTTCTGGTCCCAAAGGTCCCCTAGAGTTGACTGATGAAGCACTGACTGCTTTTGAGAGAATCAAGAATTCCCTTGCCCATGCCACCTTACTCACACATCCCGCTCCCGAAGCTCAGCTGTCTCTGATGGTAGATGCTTCGACCGTAGCCGTAGGTGCAGTCCTTCAAAAACATCTTGCTGGTTCGACTCAACCACTTGCCTTTTTCTCCAAAAAGCTCTTACCAGCTGAGACACGCTACAGTACTTTTGGCCGTGAACTACTTGCCATTTACCTGGCTGTGAAGCATTTCCGGCATTTCCTTGAAGGTCGTGACTTCACTGTTTTCACTGACCACAAACCGATGACTTTTGCACTTCGTTCCCACTCCGACAAGTACAATCCGAGGGAAATCGCCCACCTGGACTACATCTCCCAATTCACCACCGACATCCGCCACATTGATGGCACGAAGAATGAGGTGGCTGATATGCTGTCCAGACCCTCACTGTCTTCCCTCCAACTCACACTCGGGATCGATCTTTGTGTCATGGCGGCTGAGCAACAGCGAGTCGGTTGTCCTGCTGACGAGTCTGTTAGTGGTCTCCAACTCAAAGACGTTCCTCTGACCACCGGCTCTGGTACCATGCTTTGTGACGTCTCAACTCCCTTTCATCGCCCTTTTGTGCCCGCCTCGATGCGTGGAGCCGTATTTCAAACTTTGCATGGACTCTCCCACCCTGGGATCCGAGCCTCTCAAAAGCTCCTCACGGAAAGGTTTGTCTGGCCTGGCATGAACAAGGACGTCAAAGCTTGGGCTCGGTCGTGTCTGAGCTGCCAGCGCAACAAGGTGCAGCGTCACAACAAGTCCCCACCAGGCACTTTCCCCAGTCCCGACGCACGGTTCAGCCATGTGCACCTGGATGTCGTAGGCCCCTTGCCTCCATCCAATGGTTTCACCCACCTCCTTACCTGTGTCGATCGATATGCTCGCTGGACTGAAGCTATTCCTTTGCCGAATACGCAGGCTGAAACCATCGTGAAGGCATTCGTCAGTCGTTGGGTCGCCATGTTCAGTGCCCCATCCACGGTTACGACTGATCGTGGTGCACAGTTTGAGTCGGCACTCTTCCAAACGCTACTCAATTTCCTTGGCTGCACATGCATTTGGACGACAGCCTGCCATCCAGCTGCCAACTGTATGGTTAAACGTTTCCATCGTCAGCTAAAGACCGCCCTGCGTGCCGTAGATGATCCAGGAAACTGGTTGGACAACCTTCCTCTTGCACTCCTCGGCATCCGCGCAGCTCGGAAGTCGGATCTGGGTTGTAGCGCAGTTGAATTGGTTTTCGGCACTACCCTCCGACTGCCAGGCGAGATGATCACTCCAGCCTCTCGTGGGGCCGACGAGACTCCTGACAATCTTATGCACCGTTTGCGGCAATTTATGTGCTCGCTTTCCCCAGTTCCACCTCGAACTCCAATGACTGAGTCTTATGTCGAAAAAGACTTGGACAAGTGTACTCATGTGATCGTCCGGTGTGACCGTGTGCGCCAGCCGCCGGAATCACCATACGAAGGACCGTTCCGCGTGCTCGCGCGCAACACCAAGCCCTTCCGGATTCTTCGCAGTGACAAGGAGGACGTGGTCAGTGTCGATCGGGTCAAGGCTGCTGTTGCAGAGGAGCCGCCAGACCCGTCACAAGGGCAAACATGTACTGACCCCCTAACCCCTGTTCCTCCATCTTCCCTATCCCCTGCCCATTCACCCTGCCCACTGCCTCGCCATTCCCTTCCCTTGCCCTCCACCCCTCCGTCCCGCATACACCCTCTCCCTACATGTCTACAGCATCCAACTACAACATCATCGTCCACCATAGCAAGCAGTCAACCCTCTTCGACTGTACCTCCTGCTTACATCACCCGCAGTGGCCGTTACGTTCATTTCCCGGATCGTTTAGTTACGCATTTTTTCTAGTTTTATGCATATCCTCCGGCGCCGTATTCCGTCACCCTCCGGTCTAGAGGGGGGGGGGTACTGTGGTGAGGTGCCTGATTAATTTACCTTTGACAATTTAGTCCCATTTTCTTTGATCGCATTGCTAGTTTGAATGTGACGAGAAACAACACACCTGTACAACCCGCGTTGCTAGCGTGCTCCTCAGTCGTGGTCTGTTGTCAGTTTTCTTAACGGTCAAAATCTCTATATTATTCATTGCTCCGATTTACTTGCTGCCTTTAAGGCTAGGGGATCGTGAGATATAACTCGTTAGTTCGTGAGAACATTACTATTTACGTCAGATCGGCTAATTTTGTGCGTTGTACACTATTACACTATTAAAGTAACCACTTTTGCAAGGTGTAGAGTATGCAAGCGCGTGCAAAAAACTCTCTCCAAACTCACCATTCTGGAATGACTAAAATATTTCTGATTACGCTGCTCGACATTTAGTCTTGCAACCATGCTTGGGAAGTATTTTCGAATCGCAAACACACCATCAGAATGACGGTTAACATGTCATGAAATATCACACCTTCTGCATTGTGTGTGAGGTATCAAAATAAGAAGTTCCTACAAATTTTCTCGACTATTTCCAAGTCAAGGTCCACCATATTTAAGAGCATATAACTGTCAATGTGCTGATAGGATGAGAAAACAAGGGGCGTTTTCTAGATACATGCAGTCATTCAACAATTGTGCATACCGCTGCCTCACCAGATGAGCCTATCCGTGAACTGCGTGAAAACCTTAATGAAATTAAACCACACTTGTCTTATTTATCCTTCTCCTGCGACCGTGTTTGGTCGGTTCGGGAATGTAAGGAAGACAGTAACTTACGACGTTGAATGACCTATCGCCCTGGTTACCACCAACTTCAGGCCATATCTCGAATGGATATAGACGGTGAACGCCAGTTTTTTTGGTTAACTTAATTACTGCGACACCTCAAGGTGAGTGCGCCAATTTTCTCAGCTGCCACATGGGCTGGTCACTTCAGGAATGACCATTGGCTACTGCCCACTCTCTCGACCTAGGTTGCAGAGTAAGAGGTGAGTTATAGGCTCAGGACCTCGATGATGCGGAGGTGTGGTGTTTATGCGGCGCCAAGGTGTCATGAGTGGGAGTTTTTTAGTCCCGCGTGAGAGGTGAACTTGAAGACTTGTGCGCACGCCTCACCTTGTTCGTAGAAACTGAATACCTGGACCGGGGGACGCGTGTGGAGCTTCAGTGGGGCAAAGTCCAGTGGTACTGTAAAAGCCAACTCGCGATTATTTCCTGCCCCGATGTCAGGTTTAGCCACCGTCTGGTTTATAGCTGTTTCTAAATTCTCATCCGCGTGAGCCGATTCGTCTGTTGACTGAAGGCCATGTAGATGCCGTGTGTAGCCTTTGGGATTTTGGTCAGTGGGTCTAAAACATACCCAGATGTGACAACAAATCATATGCCCGAGAGAAAACGATAATGCTCTATGTAATTTGGAGTGTTTGGTAAATGCGGGACATATGTTAATCCGTCAAATATCACTCGGCACTTTTTTCACAATCACGAGCCCAATATACCCGAATGAAAAAATCGGGTTTGTCTGTTATTTGGAAATTTAACTTTAACGGATCTGATATAGTTGCCTAGTTATGTGTTGTATTGAAGAAGTATGACGAAATCGCAAGTCTCTGATCACCGAGGTAAGTGCTATTCTAAATATCGTTAATGCTCATTCTGGTATGTGTTGAAAATGAAAGGGCGGTTACTGGTCTAATTGTCATGCTGAAAGTGCCTTGAACGATCGAATTACGGAATCTCCTCGATCCGTATTGTGTAAAGGCCAAATCTAGGGCTATGCAAGCAGTGACATTGAATTTAATGTTATCGTAAATTGCCTAAGCTGCAGCTTACATTGCAGCAAATGGATGGTGTAGTTTTTTCCGGGATTGTCCGCTCTAACTGGGGAGGGGGTGTTTTCCATCGTATCCATAATTTAGTATGTCTGTTTAAAGAGCAGAATACCAAGCTGTGATGACTGATTAAACAACGAGGTCATTCTAACCTCGTGTGCTTCACCTTATCCTTCATATAATGCCGAACAATGCAAACTTCAAAAGCCTGAAATAGAGAATAGCTTCATTTCATTGGTGGGCTGGTGAATGCTATAAATCGTGTCTGGCAGAAAGGGTGCCATTTTCTGACACAAGTTATGAGTTTGAGTGTGAAGTGCTTGCTTGGAATTGCGTGCTGCGTTTACGCATGTCCAAATTTATTTGGTACGTCCTCAGTTATATTTGCATAACACTTCCTTCGTATCAGTACGCGACTCCTATTAAGTCGAGATAAGTGAGAGTATCTTGTGCTCAAATCATATGTCATGAGATTTTACAAGAAAATCTCTATGACGCAGATTCCAGTTTAACTGCTCTCTTCAAAGTCTAACATAAGTGATCGAAGGAGCGCTCATAAAAATAAGTCATAGTTGTTTTATAAATTAGCATTTACTAAAATGAAAATTATAAATTTTCCTTGCAAATAAAAATCCTACAAAACGGATATACTACAAATCGCCTAGTTTAGACTTAATCTAAGTTTGCACAAGGAAGGGGGACGCATAAAATGGGGGAAACAATGAAAGTCAAGTACAAGTAGAAAAGACCAGTACTTTGTCGTCAGCCCATTATATTTATCACAGAAGAAATTTTTTCAGACATAAAGGTGGTCAGATTGTACATAGTGGGTTGTGCAGTGTGATTACCTAGCACGGAATCAAGCTGTTTTGGATTGAAAGTTTATTATTTGCGCTGCTCCACTTTCTTTCGATATGTACCAAATGACTTTCTACAGAATTCACATCTGAGCTGTTGGGCGGGATAAAGAGTTGACTTGAGATCACATGTGGAGTGACAAGCTGTCATTTAAAGGCCAAAAAGCGTTATCAGATTCATGCGTTTCGAGAATGATCGGCAGGGGCACTGTCCTGTAGAAATAATGGGTCGAATCGGCTTCAGTAGATGTCGATGTAATCGAACACAGCCTTCACAATGTTGGCAAACACCTTGCTGCTGATAGCGTCCTTAGTCAGAATGACATTGGTGGCAAAGACAAAGGAGGCTGAAGTGGCCATTTCTGGTTTATTAGCCGTCGTCAGCCTGTCACACCCAATCCCGAAATGTGGAATATAGGGGCCTCGATCCACCGAACTGTTAGTTACAAGTCTTGCGTCCCTACTCACTGAGCCACGCTTTTAGAATGACATTTGCAGCAAAGACAAAGATGACTGTAGTGGCCATTTCTGGCTTATTAGCCACGGGCTCCTTGTCCTGTCGGTTTCGATCGGGTATATACAATGGTAGAGGGACACTCACTGATCGTGTTACCAAACTCAATCCTCACGTAGTGCCTTGGGGCCATTTCTTGCGGTTATCCAGTGTCCGTAATCGACCGCCAGACTGGCCGCTCTTCGAATGTAATAGCCATTCAAACCATTAACCGTGGACCGTTCTTTAGGGTTGCCATCGTCGTAGTATGCTCTTTTGAAAATCTCTTCCCACATATGACCATCTGAGTGGACTTCATAGGCTTGCCTAAAAACAAGACCTCATCGCGGGAGTAAATGCTCTTCCAGAATGAGAATCGATAGTCCCTATATTTCTTAGTCAATAATAAAACGTCCTCTAATAAGTTTTATACTTAAATACGGCTTCATTGTGGCCTTTTGTTGATGGAGTTCACATTCCTGCATCCTCTTCCTAAGTATGTTCTTGAAAAACATCGAGAGTTTTTTCATGCGAATGGTTTTAATAGCCACCTAATTATAGTTATTTAGTGTCGGACGAATAAAATCGTGGTCTTGCTTGCGTGTGAACCGTTCTGGTCCACCCTGCCCGTTTCTGCGCACGGCTCTATCACTAATTATTAGCCATACACTGATATTATTAATATCAAAAACACTATCTAAGGACTCAGGCGACCACCCTTCCGCTGCTAATCTGCCTATCCTTTTGTAGTCAACAACTGATAGACATTGTCTAGACAACCTTATCGCACGGGGTGGCAGAGAAAGATGACGTCATGTTGCGCCTACTCAGTATATAGTTGCTTACATCTAGTAGTTCTCAGTGTGGTAAAGCAAATTATTGACAAATAGGTTGATACTGAGTTTCATGCAACAAAGCACCAATAATCCACTCCGTTTTTCGTGGAAAAAAGCAGTTTTTCATTACCGCCCTCACCTGATCTCCGCGGAAGCAAAATCGAAGTATCCGTTTATTTTGAACTTTCCCTGTTTAAATTAATCATTGTTTACAGGACAATGCACATAAACCTGAGGCTTCGATTGGCAAATTTTAAAAGCGTACAAAATCACTTGGATATCAAGAAAGGTTAGGTTTCGCTGAAATCAGATCAGGTTTTCGTTAATACAACGGAGGTAAATGAATCACACTTGAGTTAGTGGCTTTCTGCATCTCAAATCTGTCCAAAATGCACAAACATCAACATCAAGTGTCTGGCATATTTCTCACTCAAATTTCGACTACGCCGTTTCATGAGCAGGAGAAACTACTGAGCCCGCAAACGAAAATACAAATCGTTTTAGTCATCATGTTAATCTATTTAGCGTAATTGTATGGTGGTAGGTCGTCAGAGGTCAATCAGTGTTGTCATCCACGAAAGTTGAATGTTTATCTGCTGAAAAATGTCTACTTTGAGAACTAGTAACAGTTGAAATGAGAGACAGGAATAAGCCAGTATCAGCTTTCAAATGCAACTCCGATGGCAGTAGCTTTTCACATTTTCCAAGAAACAACGTATGCTGGCTTTGTTATTGGCTGGCTGAAAAGGTTTTCGGTGCTTTCTTGATAAAATATCCTATTTGGACTGATGTCGTTCTTTTCTTTTCAGGCAAAAATCGATGCCCAAAAACTGAGGAATCCATACGTCTCTCCGAGTTTGTGGTACATAGCATTAACCGAACGTTTCCTCTGAAGTAT